GCTACACCAGCATCTTCAAGATCTGAAACTCTGTCTTCACTTTCACTTAAACGGTTTTGCAAGCTTGTGATTGAGATTTTAATTTCCTCTATATCTCTTTGACTCTGCTTCATGCAATCTATTTCTTTCCTGTATTGCTCATTCAAGGAATCCGTCCTTTTTCTAAACTCCTCTATTTTTTTATCAATATTTTCTTTAGAAGCAGTTATAAATTCTTTTACTGCTGTGTTTTTTTCAGATTGGGTTTCCTCCCTGTGTTTCTGTAGTTGCTTCTTTACTTCAGATGCTATGAGTTCTGACAATTTTTTTATTTCAGAATAGAATTGCACTCTGAGTTCCTCTATAACTTTCTGCTGTTGCTTATTTACTATTGACCCTATTAATTCATGCATTTGAGCCGAGCTAGTGTCCTCTGCACTTGTTCTGGGTGGGCATTGGGTTTTTTCCATATGTTTCTGCATTTGATTCTTTAGTGCAGATGTTATTAATTCAGGGATTTCTTTTTTTATTTCCAGTCTGAGTTCCTCTATACCTTTCTGCAGCTCTTTCTTTATTTCAGAAGCCATTGATTCATTGCTTTCAGCTGTGTCATTCCCAATTTGTTCTGTGTAGTGTCCTCTGCACTTGTTATGGGTGGGCTTGTGTTCTGAGGTTGCATTTTGTTCCTTCTCATCATTTTGTGTAGCACTGTCTTCTGACCTTTGTTGTAGATCTTCATTGTAGTTATAATCTTTGCACATACTGAAGTTCAGGTGAAGATCTACAAAGTTTGGATTTATCCAGCTGTGCCTGGCTTGGGTCTGTTTGCTGTGCTCAGCTCCTTCCTGCTACTGCCCTTGAGGGTGAACCTGTTGTGCCCCTCTGGCAAGATTTTTCTGCTCCTGCACTAGCTGGTTGGTTCTATCCTCTACATTCTCTGCGGGGATTTCAGCTGCAGGATTTCATTCCAGGCCTGTATGCGAGGCCTGAGCTGAGCCTGGAGGGGACAAGGTGGAGTAGGGGGGAGAGGTAGCTCTCCCACACACTCACCAGACCTGGGCTAGGACTGGGTCTGGTGATACCAGTAACGGGGCAGCAATTCCTACTTGGCGGGCAGGGTGGGGGTGGTGCTGCGAAGTAGTGGGGGGTGTTCCAAGGGGGTGGAAGAGGGTCTCACCTATGCTGCATCTGGGCTGGGCCCAGTAATAGGTCCCACAGGCACAGGGTAGCTGGAAGCGCTCCCACACACTCACTGACCTGGGCTAGGATTGAGTCTGGGGGTTCCCGGAACGCAGCAGAAACTCCTACTCCAATGGTACAATGTTTTAAATGCTTAATCCAGTTTTTAGGATGCTGAAAGAAATCAATAAAAAGATTTTAAAAGCATAATTCAAGTCTAAGATTAAGATTTTCTCATCTATTCCTTTCTCAAAGACAAACCTTAAAATCCATGGAATCTTAAGCTTGATGCATACAAGAGCAGTTTTCTCCCACAACTATGGGCCCCAAATCAATCATATGTGGTCTTTTAGATCTGTAAATTAATCAAATACTGTGTCAGTTTTCTTAAACTCTACAGCCACAGGCAAATAAATCAGATTTGGCAACTGGCCTAGCTTCTACAGTAGTGAGCTAGCTAGGCAGCCCCAAAGCTGAACTCTGAACAGAATCTTGGAATAAACCAAGGATCCACTCCTACATGTGCCTTCAGGACCCTCAAAGAACTTCATGTCATGTGTGGAACGAAAGAACCAAGAGACCAAGGGTCTACCCCAGATGCCCCTGGACAAACCCTTTGCCTTTTTGAATAATACTGTTTAACATCAGCACCTGATCACACAGAGATGTTTTAATGTACACTAAAATGCTTTAGAAAAGGCTGTAGACGGCAATATTTTAGTATAGTTTTTAAAATATTGTAGATCACTGCTTTCCAAATTGGAAAATCCCCGTTCCCTTGTCTTTCGTAGAACCCAGACATTCTAACAGGAAGAATTATTCCCAAAGCCACTTTTTGAGTTGAGATTAACATAGAATTCACTACAGGCATCCAACAGAGTCTGTTCTGTTGGCTTAACATGTTATCATCACGGAGGCTTGTCAACACTTTTGAAAAATGACTATGACCAATCTGCCACAGCCACTAATAATTGACAGTACTCTCTGTAACATTCACTGTCTTTCCTGTAAAACAGAAAAAAATATATGTACCCAGCTCACAGAATGTGCCAAAAATAAATGAGAAAATGCACATAAATCCCAGCACCTCACATGCATCACGCTGAGACACCTGAGGCAACACTGCTGAGAAGTGTGATGCTGACCATATGGCTGAGAGAGAAGAGAAAGAGAGGGAATGTGACAACTTGGAAAAAGAAAATCAGTGACCAGGACCATAGTCAAGGGCCCCATTGAATGACAGAAGCAAGGTAAAGTCACAGAGACACTTTACAAGTTAGTGAGGGGGATAAGTGGAATAGGAAGTAGCACAAGCCAGTCACCAGAGAAAACTTCAAAGCTTTCGTTCTGCCTCATGTCATCCTGCCAGAGGGGAAAACTCTCTCACTGAGATGACAATAACCTTCAATTTGCTTTCAGTTACCATTTCTCAGGGGATAGATGTAGTTCTTATCCGGAAAAGACCCACACTGTCATATCATCCTCCTCATCAAATATTCACCGAACAACATTTAAATGCCTGGCTTCTAGAGACATTAAAGTCAAACCCTCAGCGTTAGAGAGATGACTTTTTGTCTCTGAGTAATTCTGGGAAAGCATTCTGGCAAACCACATAAATTTAAAAATAGGAAACAGGAATTCTGGGCTCTTCCTGGTAGCTAATACTAGATCAGTCCCTCAAATATAAAAACAATGATGATAGTTATAATAATTTCTAAATAAATATCTTACAGGATGAGGGTTTCTGTTGTTGTTCTTTTAAGGTTTTTTAAAAATGTATTTAGTGCAAGGTCTACAGGATTTCACAACACAGATCGTACTCATAATGATCTTCCTGTTTTCAGCCTCCCAAGTACTAGGATTACAGGTGTGCACCACCACGCTCAGTCATAGTCACCGTCTCAGGGTGCCCCAGGGTCAGCACAATGGAGATCGAACCCCAATCTCTGCATCTGCCTAAGCAGGTGCTTTAATTCTCTGAGCTACCTGGCCGGCCCTCTTTCAAGGTTTAAGTCTTTGGAAGCTCACTTTACTAAATTTCCCTTCCCCAAGAAACTGCCTTCCTTAGGCAATGCCAGCCAGTCTGAGGTAGATTTGTCCCAGTTCTGACACATGGTCCTGGTTGTTCAGCAAAGCATAGAAGATGACCCAACAGCGGCCCAACCCAGGCCAATACTTGTCACACAGTCTAGAGCCACTGGCTCCTAACTTGAAACAAATCTCCCTCTTGCCTGGCTGAGAGATTTTATTCAAGACAAACCAGCAGTTTCTATTAAGAATCCTTGTCCTACTTTTTAATAACTTTGTGTTATTACAAAACTCAAATGGCCTCATATGCAGCACGTGGAAACATCAAAAAGCACAAAGCAATAAAACTGAAAACCATTTTCTCACAACCCTAGTGCCCAAATCACTATGCTGACATTTCATTTCCTTTCCATGTATTCTATAAATTTTTAAATCAAAATGACCTCACATCTTTATAAACTTTTTAAAAAAAAGAGTCTGCTTAGTATTAACAGCATTTTTAAAACCATTAAATATCTTTCTACATTATTTTTAATGACTTCTGAGCACTCTGATATAAATACCCATTTTTGTTGCTCATGATTGCCATAAAGGAATAGTACTTTTAGTAGTACTTTTAGATGACCTGAGAGATAGTTGTTAGTATGTAGTGGGTAAGAAGCAGAAATGATAAACACTCTGTGGAACACACAGTAAGGAAACAGTCCAAGCACAAAGCTAGTAATAGCTCAGTGGCAATACCCTAACCCCAGCTCCTTATTATAAAACACTGCTGTTTTCAATTTACTGGATATTTTAATAGCAATGAATATGTGCATCCATAAAACTTCTTGCTCCTATCTATTCACTAATGAGCTTTTTCCAGAAGGGGCACTATTTGGTCAAAAGTTATGAACACTTAAGACTTTTAAGACACTTTGGCAAATGTAATCTCTAGTTTAGGGCACCTGTCCTCTGCCAAAGAAACAGGAACTGCAGTCCCAGAGGTCAATTTCACCCTTTAGAATCTATAAAACCAAGTTCTACATGTGTAAAATTAAAATAACACCAACTCTGCCCACCAACAGGCTGCTGGTAAAGGCCAAATAACACGTGAACATCTGTGACAGTGGGGGGGGGGCGTTTCTAACAGCCACTGTGTCACAACAGCTTCTTTCCTTGGCTGCAAAAGAAATGAAGCAAGGCAGGCTGCAGACCTGAACACCCCCAGGACTTGATAGACACCAAGCGGAGGGTGAGCCCACCATGGTGCCCTTCATGTTGGACTGTGTCACCGAGCCTACCAAGGGTGAACTGACACCCAGTGTAATGAGAGGGATTCTACCCAGCTCCACTGTTTTTTGTTTTTTTTTTTTCTTTTTCCTTTAAAAATATAGAGTCCACTTTGACAAATCTTATGACCTCTCCACAAATGATGCAAATAATATGATGATCAAACACCCCGAATCTGCAGTCCATCCCTGACCCAATACCATGCACGTTCTCAATCTGTCTTAAACTTTAACCACACAGGGCGGTCACTAATCAAAATACTTGTTCTTTTTGAAGAAACGGGCGTCTCTTAGGGGTCTGCGCCAGCGTGGACAACTGCCGGTTGTTTGTTGGGGGTATCCCAAAAACTAAGAAGAGGGAAGAAATCTTATCAGAGATGAAAAAGGTCACCGAAGGAGTCGTGGATGTCATCGTCTACCCAAGCGCTGCAGATAAAACGAAAAACCGGGGCTTTGCCTTCGTGGAGTACGAGAGTCACCGCGCGGCTGCCATGGCCAGGAGGAAGCTACTGCCAGGTGAGTGGCCGAGAGCCCAGGTCACCCCTGCTGCGGCACTCTCAGCACAGAAGGCGAGGGCAGGCCGTGGCTGATTTGTGGACTTGCTTTGTATGTGTGTGTGTATATATATATATATATATAATATACAGTATTATATTTGTATATGTAATAGTATTTTAAACTCTCCATTTTTCTTATTTATCTCACAGTTGATTCAGTTCCCTGAATTTTTCAGAGTTTAGAGATGTATTCGTGCCGTGAATGGGGTCTAATGTACATGCACTGGAGGAATCCAGAGTGTTAGGCTACAATAATCCTGTAATGAATCCTTATGATTGACATGTTATTTACCTGTTGTCGTTTACTCCTTTTTCTCCTGTGTTTAATTGCTTGCCCTATTTAGTTGGTTGCTTCCTATCTCATTCGTGGAGCTCTGATCATTTTGGTCCCTCTCTAGCACATCTTTCAGGAGCCTGTGTAGGGTTGGCTTTGTCATCACGAGATTTTTTAGTTGTTCTTTGTCATGGAAGTATTTCACTTCTCCATCCACCATGAAAGAGAGTTTTGCAGGGCATAATCAATCCTTATAGGGGAAGGATCTTCTGAAGTTAAGCTTATCAGTTATTTTTGCTTGTAAGTTACATTAACAGGCTTATTAGGTATAGGGTTCATCATCCATTATAGTGGAGATGTAATAAAATGCCAAGTGATACATTATCCCAATGACAATGAAGTGCTGCACGTTCATTATGACTCCCTATTGTCCAATGAATTCTGTCTAATAATGAGGAAGAGAGATAAAAGCTCTTCCAGGAAAGGCATCTTTGCCAGGTGCTGCAGCCACAGGGGCAGTGCCACTTAGGCAGTAGCCACCAAAACCTGGGTTTATTTTTTTTCAAAGTTTTATTGATAAACAGATAGCAATGAGACAGTTTCAAATCAAATCGGAAGTACAGTTTCAACAAATAATACACTGCATATATTCTTCTTAGTGGTTAATTGCTGTACAAGAAGTGGACTTGTGATCCTATTTACAAACACCATTAGAACAAATCATTCTATTCATTAAGAGAATGCAACTATATATCTATCCTAACCACTTGGAATACACAAATACAAAATGGACATTCATCGGTATACCCCATTTTTTCTAAGTTCCGTTATTGAATATTATAGGTGTGTAAACTCAGCAAAATATTCTAAAAGAGTCCAGTAGCCCATAATAGCATTGGGTCTTCTGTTTAACTGGCAATGTCAGAAATTATTGACCTGAGTCCCCCACAGCTCAACTTAACAGCATGGCTTTATTTCTTATATTTCGTCTTCATACTTTTCTACTGGATGGTTAAGACCAAGATAAAGCAGGACCTATGCAACAAGAGTTGTAGCTTTTTGGTCTGAGAAGGTCAGTGAAATGCCCTCAGGATTTGTCCTGAGATCCTGTACCTCAGATTGTAGAATGGGTTTATTTTTATTTATTATTTTTTAATGTATCTCATTATGTAGGTCAGACTCATAGTGATCCTCTTGTTTTTCAGCCTCCCAAGCGCTGGGATTACAGTTGCGCACCCCAGGGACGGGGCCAGCACGGCACACCGGGGATCGAACCCCAGTCCCTGTGTCTGCCTAAGCAGGCACGTTAATCCCCTGAGCTATCTCACCAGCCCTAAAGCCTGGATTTAAAGTGTCCACCAAGACACTGTCTCAGTCAGGTCAACTTCAGAAAAGCTATTTTAAAGCCTTAAACTCATACAAACATATTCACTAAACTTCGCACAAAATCAAATATTAAAGTGAACTAATAAGTAAGATAATTTCAAGAAGGACAGACAAGAGAAGACACACCATATTAGAATCAACCTTTCCCATGAAAATGACAGGAGAGCCACCATATGTAAAAATAAAACACAAACATCTAGATGTATATGGCCCCTATACACTCTCTTAAGGACATAACAAAGAGCAGGATGAACCCTCTGGAAATTTTCAAAGTTGGAAGATAATTTGAGCTTAAATGGGATATCTAACAATATTATTAAGAAGGTAATTTAAAGTAAAAATTAGGGACATATGTATAAACTAACTCGAAGAACTGCCACACCTACTGGGAAGATGGCTATTTTCAATGCTGAAGATTTTCTTTGCACTTCTTCACTAACCAGTGGTCAAAAAAATGTCCACAGGGGTGGGACGTCCCTATGCTTTGGTGACCTGGACTTCATATTTTGTTCTCATCTTTAAGTTTTCTCTTTTTAAAAATTAATTAATTAATTAATTAATTAATTAAACAGGCTCTCCCTGCACAGGTCCAACTCATAGTGATCCTCTTGTCTCAGTCTCCCCAGCACTGGGATTGCAAGTGTGTGCCGCCACATTGGGTTTCGGTGGCCAGCACGGCATGTGGTACTAGTAATAGAACCCAATCCTCTCACTTGCCAGGCAGACACTTGGACCTCCAAGCTATCTCCCCAGCACCAAGTTTCCTGTTTTTAACAGCAGCCTGTCTGCATTGGAAAATCTCACCTGTCTGTCCCATTCTCTGGCCACATTTGTGGCCAGAACACGTATGCTCTTTGCGTCACATTGTTTTTGTCAAAGCTTCCCATTATCTTCCCAGCGCTCTCCCTTTGATGCAGCCTGTCCTCTGCCTACTCCATCATGAATATTACCACCAAATAGACATTTCCAAAATATTCCATCATCCTTTCAACAAGTTCTTGCAAAAATAGAAATTCAGTATTTATTAATAGGTTAAATGGTGTCACTAACCTGCCTCTTCAAAGAATATTCACCAGCTACTTGTTGTGTATGAGATACAGATTCAGTCTCCAAACCCATTATTCAAGTTCCCTCATTTATGTTCCCTAAGTTTTTTGCTACCACATGTTTTTTTCATTTCCCAACGAAAACTCCTTTTTCAAAGCAAAATTCTGCAATGCCCCAGATTACCCTCATTTGTGTCTCCTTTACTAGTAATGCTCTCTCCAATACTAGCTCAGCCAATATCTTGAGCAGCCAGTGGTTCTCTAGGCCACATCAGTCACTTTCTTCCCCCAATTCAGGTATGCAGGGAGTCTTTATGTATAAAAGATATATGCAGCCGGGCATGTGGGCACATATGTCTAATTCCAGTAATGGGAGGCTGAGGCAGGAGAATAGCAAGTTGAGGTCCTTCTTCGACCACATAGTGAGCTTCTGTCTCAAAACAACAACAAAAAGAAATAAGAGGAGGATCACGAAAAAGGTGCTGGGTCAGTGAATAACAGCTTTTCGGGACCAGGCAATCAATACTGTCAAAGTATGGACCTTATGAAAATGTCCCCATCTTTTCAGAGAAAGTAGCGAAGGGACCCACTCCAAGAGCACTTGAATGTGTGTGTCCAGCCTCCAAAGCCTGGGCAGCTGGGCTTCAGAAATTCTCAACCACTTCATTATGCTCCTACCGAAACTCCTGATCTTTCTTTATGAATTCCTTGTGCGAGACCCAGGAAGGGGTGAGAGGCCACCGCACCCTGTCTATACTCATCACAAAGCCCCTTGCCCTACCCATAGGGCTGTGGGCATCCTCAGTTGGGCTCCACTCTTCCAAGTTGCCATCAGTCTGTCTTATCAGCAAACTCACAAGCTGAGGCAGGATGGGAATGAGTCACCGAGAGCAAAATGTTTTGCTCCTAATAAAACTTCAGAACAAAATGTTATCATTTGGGCCATTCTACCTATTGTGCCAATGTGAAGGATTCCAGGGATTGGCAGCTTTCCAAAAAGCCTAGTTCTAAAGAATAAGGAGATACTTAACAAGCAACGCTAAGTAATGACCATAAGTTTTTCCTTCTTAAGTTAATCCAGACTTGGAGATCAAGAAAATTGTTATGTGAGGTGGTGGAATTCTCGCAACCATCTCTCTTAACAGTAGCAGTCCCCTCTTCCCAGCCCTTGCCTTCATTAAGCTGAATATGAGCAGCTGTATCTAGCTCAAACCTGTTAAAGCCTGCTGAGGGCAGTAACGCTCAGCTTCTGGATGCATCCGATGCACTTGGAGGGCTTGTTCAACCCAGAGTGCTGAGCCCTCCCAGCAGGGATTCTGCCTCAGTATGTTTGGAGTAGCTTTGGATAATTTGCATTTATAAGCTCTCAGAATGCTGCTGTTCCTAAGGCCATACATTGGTGACAATCTAAATCAACAAATTGTTCTTCAAATGCTGTAATTACAGTTATTTCAGGACTCTTCAAGCTGTAATCCGTATCAACCTCTGATTAACCTCCTTCTCTGCAGTGTCAACTTGGAGCGCACATGTTTTAAATCTTCCAGATGATACTACTGTGCACCCAAATTGTATTCGCCACTGCTAGGTGTATCAGCTAACAATGCTGGATATCACCTACAGGGCAGAAATTGGAGTGCCGGAGGAACTGTTAGGCTCACAAACACTTATTAAGCACCCACAACACGACATGGCAGATTCTAAGCATAATTACCTAACTGTTGTGCTCAGAATGCATATTCCAACTGAGGAAAATAAATAAATAAGAACATAGAAGTATTAAAAGAAGTACATGATGTTAAATCTTCATTCAAAAGTGATCAACTGAGTCCTTCACTGGCATCTTTTATTTTCACCACAATGTTAGGTATTTTTATTTTCGAATTTTATAGACAAGACAACTAATGCTTAGAAAGGATGTGTTTTCCAGCTGAGATCCCTGAAGTTACCTGACTTCAACACACATGTTCTTTGCTTCTGTTTTTTGTTTTGTTTTCATTTTGCGGTACCAGGGACTGAACTCAGGGCCTCGTGCATGCTAGGCAAACACCCCGCCACTGAGCCCCAGCCCCAGCCCAAAGCGGGTGTTCTTAAATCACCCTTCCACACTGATTTCCACCACAGCGTTCCACAGGCATACTTGCAGAAATCAAGTGCTCCTGTGCCTTCTTTCATTTTCATTCCCTCCAGATATATGCAGTTCTTTGGGTTTAGTAAGCGGGGAAGGCAAAAGCAAAAATGGTGGTGTTCATCCTTGGCTACATGGTAGAATTACAAACCTGTGGCCTAGACCATTTGAAGAGACCCTGGAAAGGAGAGTCCAAGAGTCAGGAATGAACTGGTAAATCCTTAATAAATGGCTCCCAGGGGCAAAGCAAAAGCCTCAATTTATAGCTTTTGCCTATTTCCATGCTATTCACTCTCCCACTGTGGCTTGCTTCAGTGTACCAATGTGATGCCAACTGGTTTAAAGGACTCTAAAATTTTCTTTATCCATTTATCTGTCAATTAACACTTTGGCTGAGTCTATGTCTTGGCTGCTATGAGTAATGCTACAATAAACAAGAGAGTAGAGACATCTCTTTGACATACTGATTTCATTTCCTTTGGCTATACACCCGGTAGCGAGATTGCTGACTCATCTAATAGCTTTATTTTCTACATCCCAATCTACATTCCCAACACTGCATAAAGCTTCTCTTTTCTCACCAGCACCTACCTTCTGCCTTTCTGAGGATAGACATTCTACCCAATGTGGAGAAACAGCTCATTATAGTTTTAATTTACATTTCCATGATGAGTGCTGACTTTTTTCATTCTGACTTTGGTGCACCTTTTGAAAATGGCTCTTTAAGTCTTTTGACCATTTTTTATTTGGTTATTTATTGTCTTACTACTGAGCTGAGTTCTTGGAGCATTCTGGATATTAGTCCATTGTCAGATATAAGCTTTGCAATGATTTACCCCTTCCTCAAGTTGTCACTTCACTCCATCAATTGCTTCCTTTGCTGTAAAGATTTAACTTCATTTGCCTCTTTGTGATTTTTTGCCTGTGCCTTTAGGATTACAACCACCTAGTTATTGTCCAAGAGAACATCATGAAACTCTCTCCCATGTTTTCTTCTCGCTGCTTTACAGTTATGAGTCCTGACATTTAAGTTTTTAATTCATTTGAGTAGTTTTAAAATGCTACGAGGAAAGGGTCCAGTTTCACCTATAGGGGGATCTCCAGTTCACTCTGTGTGTCTGTTAAAGACACTACCTTTCTGAATTGTGTGTTCTTCACATCTTTGTCACAGATCATGACTGTTTTCTAAAGAATAAATATGTATATATTTTGGTTGAAAATACTTGACTCCCACATGTAGTAATTAAACAAACAAATGCTTTCCCACACTGAAAAATTCCTTGTTTTGTTCTCTCAAGCTTTGTGTTGTTTATAGGATCTAGCTTGTTCCCAAACAATAAATAAAAATAAACTAGGCTTCCCATCACATTTAGAACCTACCAGGTAGAGTAGGGAGGGAACCAGGAAGGCAGAGAGAAATGGATTATAATGTTGAGCCCAGGTTGGGCAATTTAACAAATTAGTGAAACTCCACCTCCGAACAAAAAAATTAGAGGGCCAGGGAAAAAGCTCGGCAGTCTAAGCACCTGCCTGGCAAGCACAAGGTCCTGAGTTTGATCCCTGGTACTGCATGCTGTGCCAGCCCCATGCTGAGCCAGCCACTGAAACCCAGAGTGCTGACACAGTGGCACACCCATGTAATCCCAGTGCTGGAGAGGTTGAGACAAGAAGTTCACTATGAGTCCAAGCTGCACAGCAAGACCCTGTGCTAAACAAATAAATAAATAAAAGATGAAATAAATACATAAATATTTAAAAATTAAAAAATTGAAAGGACAGGATATGAAGGCCCAGTTTCAATTCTCAGTACCTCCCACTAGAACTCAAGTTGACTCTTGCCATTTTTTCATCAGTTGAATTCCAGCCTGAACCTCACAGAATTACAGGAGCTGAGTTGGAAACAACAAAGAGAGGAGGTGAAGGGAAACTGGTCTAGACAGTTATCCTCTCTAAAACTCATTTTCTCCTCTATAAAATTGGAGCCATCAGCCTCCCACAGTGTTATGAGGATAAACAGCTGAAAAAGACACAGAAAATATGATGCAAAACACTTGCATTATTATTATAAGAATGTAAAAACGTAGAGTACTAGATGGAAACTACCCTTTAAAGAAGAGTTAAATTTCTCATCATAGACTTTTCTACTGCTCTTCAATTACCTTCTTTTACCTTATTTTTTTTTTAAATTTCCAACTTACCCATGTCCAGGCAGAGATCTAGGAAAGACACATTTGGCCTGAGCCTTGAACAAGAGTAAGAAATAGAGAACAAGTGAGGTGCCTGAACCACCCTCGTGCACCTAGGACCTTACATACACTTGTGCCTGAGCCAGGTGATGATTACTCCCAGGAAGCTCATTTGGCTGAAGAAGCTGAGGAAGGAATAGAAAGGAAAGGTGGGAGGTAAGAGACTCTTGTGTGGACATTTCAGTGGCAATGCCAGCAAAAGAGCAGATTCCAAAAGCAGCAGACATGTGACCTCATGCTTTTGAATATTTTATGAAGTCAGACTCTTTGTCTCAGCCCAAATGCACTCTTCTTTCTGCCCTTAAACAACTACCTTCTCCAGTAGAAGCTCTGTCAAGAGCCAAACTTGCCCACTACCCTTCCATTTCTGTTCCATTTTAAACCACATACTCTTTTCTTCTATACTCAATCATTATAATGAGCTGTAGTCACCTCCTAGCCAACCATGACGTGTACTTGGACGTCTTCAGATCAATAGCAACCTCTTTTAATGGCCTTGCTCATGCAAGACCTCGAGGGTCAATGCAATTTAAAAGGCCATCAGTCTGGACTGAGATGCTGCTGCCCCAATTTCTAAATAATTAATCATACTCATGATCATTTTCAACAGGAAGAATTCAGTTATGGGGACATCCGATTGCAGTAGACTGGGCAGAACCAGAAGTAGAAGTTGACGAAGACACAATGTCTTCGGTGAAAATCTTATATGTAAGAAACCTCATGCTGTCTACCTCGGAAGAGATCATTGAAAAGGAATTCAACAATATTAAACCAGGTAAAACGTACATTGTAACATTACTTCTTCAAGATGTACTTTACAAACACTAATACTTGAGATGCCTTTCTATAAGTTTAAAGAGGAAACTATTTTATTTTGCTCATTCCTATAATTGAATGTAGTCTACTCTCATTATATTCCATCTTTCAATTAGAAAATAGGGATATATGTTTTCTCACCACTTCACAATGTTATCTTATATTTTATCTCTGTGATTATTTAATAAGCATATATTTCCTTAACTAAGATAAAAATGCCATGAGTTCTTTTTGTCATCTCCTCAGTCTTGAGTCAGTTTGGAGGCTTGGTATATAAAAATGCTCAATAAGTATTTATTGGTTCAATGACTATATGGACATAACTGCAGGCCCGAGGCAGAGTTGCTCAGACTCAACACTAATGACATCTTGGAACATATGATTCTTGGTAGTGGGGATCTCCCCAGTAGATTGTAGGATATCCAGCAGCACTTGGGACCCCTTCACGGTAGACACTAGTAGGAATCTCCAACCAGTAGTGACCTACAAATGTAGCAACCAAAGTATCTACAGACATTGCCAAATGTAACATAAAAATAGGCAGAGTTGGTCCATGGGATATATTTGTCCCTTCAAGTACATAAGTGAGAAGATATCTGTTCATTTGGATCATGAGAAAGGGAAAGGAACAGTGTTCCTAGTCATCTCATCAATACCTTTCAGCATCAATTCTAAGCCCTAAGATTGGTTCCTTTTCTTTCTTCTCAATATAGGAGCTACAAACTTAGGTAAGTAAAGCATTTTATGAAACAATGTCCAAATGAGCATTTCCCAGAACCACTTCTGAACATCAGTGTTACAGACTGTTAGTTGATATTACTGATAAAAGAGCTATGGGATCAAGCAAGTTTAACCACCCAAATCTGCAAAAGTGAGCTGGAGAGTGACACTGAAACAGCAAAGACTGGAAAGGCAGAAGTCAACCTGGCTGACTCCTTCTCACTGTGCCGTGGAGCTGAGCCACAATAATCACCCCATCTTACACTGAAAGGAACAAGGAAACCATGTCAGAATTTCATAGACTTAAATGTTGCATGCTTCATGGACTCAGACATGTTTAAACAATCTTGTTCTGTATAACTATTGTCCTAGGAAGTCAACAGTTGAATGTTAAGAAGAAAGAAAGGCATCACAATATTTTAAAAATGGCCTCAGATTATAGGTCTGTTGGTATTCCAGAATAAAATGATAATTCATTCTCTGAACCATATGGTAAAGTAGAAACTATAACTGCCCTTGTGATCTTGAATCTGAAAGGATAATTGAACATTGATGGGAAAAGGTAGAAAGAAGGCTTCCTCTTCTTCTCATGTTTAGACATCATGTTTCATCCCACATTGTGTCTGCAGACCAAGGGTAAAAGAAGAAAACTTAACTTCACAAACACATGCAAACCAGTGTAAACTAAAGAGGATAATTGGCATGCTGGTGATGAAACAAGTTTCCATCTTGCCTTCACCCTAAACAAAAGATCTGCCTTTAAAAATGAATAAGAAATAATACTTTTAAAATATAACATCACAGCATGTTGGTACAATTATTTTTTTGCATGTTACCATCAATATGTACGAAATTCCTCTACCTAAAACTAAGATTGGTTTGTGTTTTTTTCTCATATGATATTTTTATTTTTTCTTTGATTTTGGTTTGTGTTTTATTTTTACACAACAATCTAGATAAACTTGGCAAATATTTGTAAAATATCAAAGTATATCAATTAAAATATTAAATTCTCCTCTATTCTTCCCAAATTTTCATATCATTCCTGAAAGCAACCCCTATTACTAATGGTTTGGACTCTATCTCTCCATCTCGCTCTCTTCCTCTCTCTCTCTCTGTCTCTCTCTTCATAAGTATATTTCTATATGTGTATAGATACACATTTTGGTTGGTATTTTTAAAACATAATTGTACAATCTCATTTTCTACCTTTCAAAGATAAACATAGGTCTTGAATCCTTTTATCTAAGTAGACAGAGGTCTATTCTGTTCTCTTTAAAGATTCCTTTGTATTAACATAAATATACCAGACTTACTTGCTCCCATGAAAATTGGCATTAGATTGCTTTATTTTTGCTGTTTGAATAGTGGGTACAATTTATATCCCAATGTACAATCCTTGTGCGTATGTGCATATTTACAATCCTGAATGTGTTGTGCATATGTAAGCACTTTTGTATAAAATGTTCCTTTGAGTAAAATTGGTAGGTATCTACAACATTCCAAGTCTTTAGATACCATGATAACATGGGAGAAAATCTCAGCTCGGCAGTATTCTTCAAAAAAACTTTATATTTTACTCACATTTTAATTTAAAGTGTAGTGGATAAGATAAACGACATCTGGTTTTGGATCCTACCTAAGTGAACTATAATTCTCACATACTTTTTCAGAATTATAGCTTCTTAATATTTAAGTAAAAATAAGAAAAATTAAGCAAATCATTGCTAAAATATCTTCTTACTCTAAAATTATGAGATAAAAAGGTAATAAGCTAAATATAGGCTTATCATATGGCCAACTTATTTTTTATTACTTTTATTGGTGCATTTTAGATATTTGCAATGATTACTTTCACCAGAGAGAGTCTATACCTGTACATGGTATATCTCAATTCTTCGAATCCCCTCTCCTACCTTCAACCCCTCTTCCCCTCCTTTGCAAAATATTTGTTTCCGTTTTCTTCCTTCTATTCTCTTCTTGCTCCTCCCTTTCTCTATCCCTTGTTTCTCTTTCCACGTGAATATCTTCCCTAATACTGCATTCAGCTGAGTTCAACAAAATTTACCAGGCATCGTCTATTATCTTTCACTTAAGATGCAAAAACAGGTGCTATTTTTATACTAAAGGTTACGTACATGTACCAGCTATATTGTTTATTTTTCATGTTCCACAAACATGTACTCATAAATAAATGAATAAAAAGTGTTCAAAACTGTATAATCTATAAAATAGAACGCGGTAGTTGATAACTAATTATAACTGTTATTTTAAAATGATAAGCAAAAAATTTTGTGCTATTGCACAAAATTGTAGAATTTTAAACATACACACATGAAAATCTTCACCGGATCCTGACTCACATTCATGGAAACTAGCTGCATCTTTTCCAGGGCTGTCTCAAATTTGCTAACAGCACTATGTTTACTGGTTACAGGTGCTGTGGAAAGAGTGAAGAAAATCCGGGACTACGCTTTCGTGCACTTCAGCAACCGAGAAGATGCAGTTGAGGCTATGAAAGCTTTGAATGGGAAGGTAATGCAGGAAAAAGAGACAATGTGCAGGCTCTGGCCCAGCTTGCTGTGGACATTCAGTTCCCAGGAGGGCTGCTGGGAGGCTGTCACACGCTAGCCTTCCCTTCTCCTAACATAGCTGCTGCAGTCACTTCCAAAGATGGAAAACACAATGGAGAATGGAGATGTGGCTGCTACATCCAAGTCTACCTCTAGCATTTTTCTGATTTTTTTGTTTTGTTTTGTTTTGTTTTGTTTTGTATTTTAGATTAGGGTTTACAGGGTGTTCAGGGTCTCACCACTGGATTGGACTCACAGTGATCCACCTCTTTACAGCTTCCCAAGAGCTGGGATTACAGGCGTGTATCACCACACCCAGTCTCAATTGTCCTCTCAGCATGCCCCGGAGCAGGGCTGGCACAGCAGTCCTGGCCATCGAACCCTTAATCCACTGAGCTATTTGGCTGGCCCATTTTTCTGATTTGGACAAATCACTTGTCCTCAGTTTTCCTAGGAAGATTGTTTAAAATAGAATATTGCAAGGAGACCATCTTCAACCCCCATTTTCTATCATTTCTGTACTGTATAGTGCAGTGCTTTAAGGTCTACAGTCAGAAAAAAATGACAATGTAACTGTCATTATACCCTCAGAATTTGACCTACCTCCTGTAAGGATGTTTACCATCACTCAACTTAGAGGAAGTATGTCTGGAGTGTTGGAAAGACACTGATATAATGTACACATCAATATAGTAAACACTGTAAACCTAACATAAACCACTTATCTTCTAATAATACACAGGATTTATTTAAAAAAATCAAAGAGCTAAAAGTCTCCTGAACAAATGAGTACACAAACAACTATGCAAAGTTAAGTCAGGGGATATCATTAAAAAAGAAATTTAAAAACAGTAAGAAAGTTCACAGGAAGAAGTAGGTTACCAAAAACCAGAAACTCTTCATGAATATGAGAAGATAATACAGAAGAGAAAAACATGTGGTTTGGACATGATTTCAAGAGTATAATTTCAAAAAGATGCAAACCAGAATCAGTCTTAAGGGACAGAATTTGAGAACAACACAAAATTACAGAATAATAACTTATAGAGCCATGTACGGAAAACACAGTTCACGCCTGCTGTACCACCCATTGAACATTGTCGTACCAATCTTCATCCCAACAAAGCCCAGATAACAGAAGAGTTCATTATAGATGTGGGTGTGAGGGGTAGGGGAATCCAAAAGCTGTCATAGAAACCTAGGACTTGTCGCACCTGGCGTCAAAGCCACAGAGGCTGGAAAATTAGTAGAAATATTGTAAGGAGAGAATTGTGGGAGGCTGACATTCCAAAAGGAATGGTTATTTTTTGATCAAGGGACAGGGCTAGCCCAAGGTGACTCTTTAGAGGGAGCCAGGAGAATAAATGCTCCAGGTTCACAGCTGTCTCCCTCTCATACCCCCATCAAGGTCGTTCACTGGCCAAATCCAATCATAATGCAGAAGGCTGGCAGCCATAGATGACCCAGGCATAGTAGTGTCACAGAGCCGCAGGCACCCTGGAGACTGTTGGGGAGCAGGTCTGAAGGGTAAAGGGAAGCCCTCCCAGCAGGTCTCTCAGACACACTGGTTCCTGGGATGTGTGCATTCTTCAGAGGCCTTAAAAATGGACTCTTGGCATGTGTGAGGGAGTCAACACCAATTCTGAAATACAAAAGAAACCCACGAAGCAAAAATTAATGCCTATTTGCATGCATGGCTATAAAACAAAACATCATTCTTCACTGATTATTACACTTAATAAAGCGCTGCATTTAGCAAAAATGTTATTATTTTGAAAACAATTTGTAAGTTAGTTTTCTCAATTTGGAAACATTTCTGAGTGTACATTACTGCTGAGAAGACACCAATTATAAAGATTAAATGGGCAGACCAAAATAATTATAATAGAAAGGTATGCAAATTATTCCCAATGTTTACAGCTAAATCTTTTGTAACAATGTTTACACACATCATGGATTCAACATATATTTAATATTACTAGTATATGCATATTGGATATTATCTTTAAGTATAATGTGATATGTAAAAATAGGTTTTGCAGGACCTGTAAGGGCTTATTAGGATGCTTATGATATTTATATTGAATTTGTTAGACAAGGTGAGACATTTTTGGGGACATGATCACACTTGCAATTTAGAAAAATGAACCTAATAAGAGGTGACTTTTTATTGAGTGGCAAGAGATGTAATAAAACAGGCTTTGAAGCTATTATAGTCACTAAGATGGAGCAAAATAAGGACTTGAAATAATGAGGGAGTAGAATATAGGAGAGAGGTCTACCCTGAACTATGGAAGAATGAGTTCAGAGTCCGGGGAAAAATCAGCCTAAGTTTTCCAAATGGAAGAAATGGAAGACAGCAGACTCAGAAAAGAAAGCCTATTGGGAGAGAAGCGTGGAAAACTGAAGTTTGGACATGAAAATTCATTTGGTTTAGAAATCTGTGTGGATGTCTATGATGTGGAAGAGATTTTGCTTTTCTGTACATCACATTGATTTTAAAGATTAATATGATATTGTCCTATCTCTTGAAATGTTTAAAAAACTGAAACATATATATTGTGTTTAAAATTCAGTATTGATGTGTTTGAAATTCAGCTGAAGTGTTTGAAATTCTGGGGGAAGCGGGGGAGAAATTCAGAACAACATTTATTATGATAGGAAATCTGACTTGGCAATAATCATTCCATTCAAAACATGTCCTTCTTTCCAAAACTGTATTTAGAGTATAAATTTATACCCAGGGTATCAATGGGCAACATGTTACTGTCAAGCCTGTTGTCACCTTGTGCAATGTGCTAACCAAAATCACTCAAAGAAAGCCCTTCTGGCAGACAAACATAAACCTATAAAAAGATGAGACATTTTCCTAAAAGATACAAAGACTTATATTTAAGGTCACAGGCCACTTCTTTCTCTCAGTAGTCCAAGCTACTTTCTTCTAATTATGTCAATATCACCATTAGGTTGTTGAATATAGACTAGATTGTGTCCACCTCTCAGTGTGTTCCATCTACTCTATTTGATACTAGCTATTCTTACTGAAAAATAAGATGTCCACATGAAACTAGGGACAGATTACTCCGCAGACTGCCCAGAATGGCCAAGATGGCTCTGAGACACAAGCTTTGTCCAGAGAACTTTGACAACTACAGAGTCACTCATGAAATTGAGGGATGAGGGGGCATATTGAGCTGCTGTGAAAGGGAATTTTTTTAAATATATTTGGTACAGGGTCTCACTTCGCAGCTCAGACCCATGGTGATCCCCCTGTTTTCAGCCTCCCCAGCTCTGGATTACAGGCATGTGCCACCTCGCCTGGACTCTGTCATGGATTCAATGCCCCTGAGGGCAGGGCCCAGAATGGCACACAGTACCAGGGATTGAATCCTGGTCCCTGTGCTTGCCTAAGTAGGCACTTAGTCCACTGAGCTATCTTGCCAGACCTTGAAAGGGAAGTTTTTGCTAAAACACTGTTCTATTTACTTTGTTTACATAAAATAGACATCCACTTACTTTTATTCAAAGAAAACCACAAGTAGTTTCTGGGACCTTTTCTCCTTTTAGTAACAAAATGCATAAATCTCTCAAGTATTTGTTGAAAGCCATCTTTGTTTCTTGAGCCCACAAAAATAGAGGAGTCAGTTATGCATATAAATGGACACATCCATGATCTTCATTATCTGAAGGAGTTTGTAATTTTAGGAACTTTCCCCTGAGAGCTACTCCAGTAACTCTTGAGAAGGTGTTTGCAGCAGTACATGACGGGAGAATTCTCAGTGTCACTTCCACCCCTCTACCCCAATCCTTTGCCACCTCTGTTTGTTAGTTCCTAACAACTCATCAGATCAAATGATCTCTTCATTAATTTCCTCCATGTTTTTATGCTATGTAGTGAAAATTGTCTTCTCCCTATAACAATTTTAAGATTTCTGGTCATTATATAATTGTATAAATTTGTACCTTAAAACATTCATCACATAATAGAGAATATTGGATAATCTTTTGCTTCGGGGTATCTAGATTATAAATTCACACTCACTATATCAGTGACAATTGGTCACTGTCAAATGTGTTGACATCTTATGCAAATTGCCAACCAAATTCACTCAAAGAAAACCTATCTCATACACAAGCATGAAAAGGAACAAGATAGGAGTAACTGACATATTAACTAACCACAGCAACTAGTCCAACACTAGGAAGGGGTCGTGTTGCCAGGGCTCAGCCACATTTACCTGTCCTAATATCTTTATCTTCTTTTCTCCACAACAGGTATTGGATGGTTCTCCCATTGAAGTGACCCTGGCTAAACCAGTGGACAAGGACAGTTACGTTAGGTATACCCGAGGCACAGGTGGAAGAGGAACGATGCTGCAAGGGGAATATGCCTACCCTTTGGGCCATATTTATGATCCCACTACCACCTACCTTGGAGCTCCTGTCTTCTATGCCCCCCAAGCCTATGCAGCAATTCCTAGTCTCCATTTCCCGGCCACCAAAGGACATCTGAGTAACAGGGCCATTCTCAGAGCCCCTTCTGTGAGAGGTAACAGCAGTCAGCTCCTGCCTTAGCACAACTCGCAGGGCACTAGCCGTAGACAAATTGAATGCACCTAAAGATCTGGAAGAAAGGGAGTAGAAAAGTGTTTATTAAAAATCAAATACAATGTCAATATAGAAATCTTTTTTCACATCACAACTGGTTATATAAAAAGTTGGTCAGAACTGAAGCGTAGTTATGGAACTCACTGCACAAGTCTGATGTTTGCAGAGAAATATAAAATTTCCCAAACTAAAATTGAGTTCCATACTTGTTAATGACTTCTTTATCTTTGCACCATCATCTTGCAGTCACTTGTGGCTTGTTACAAAATTTCCAAAATGGAAAGTAGTGTGATCCAGTGGAAACAAGTTATACCAAATAACCAAAACACCTTTACCCACATATGTACTTGATGGTGGCTCAGTGACATTTTTGTACATAGACCACAGAACACTCATAGAAATATGAGTTGATATAATCTCTCTGCACTAAGAAATACATTATATCCTCTAAAAAGTCAAGCTATTCAGAAAATCTATTTATTTCTTTAGTAGACCGGAAACCAAAACAAAGTCTGTAAGACCATAAGTGCTTCATGTTTGAATCCTATAAAAATTCCAAATGTTCAAACAGATTTCAGAGCTCATTTAGTTCAAGCAATAGGGAAGATAACGAAAATGTTTTTGTTTCATTTTGTTTTGTGTTTATTTTCAAGAAATTAGTGTATGTCTGTTTAGGGAATGCTTCAGTATGATTGTTCTAGTACGTGGCTAATCTCACCAGAATCCCAGTCCTATTGCCTAAACATGACACCAATATGGGCAATATCAACAAACAAATGATGTATGAAAACCTGTTCTGGGTTTGACTTAGAAAGAAAGGGGCACATCCAGATTACGGTGAAAACAATCATCTTACTATGTTTTTCTATTTTGTTGTTAACCTGAATTGACCATTTTACTACCTCTATTCTTCAACAGCTGTCAAAGTTTCAGCTGTCAAAGTTCCAATATAATCAGGCCTGAAAAAAATCTGTAACACAAAAGAAATCATCAGGATTTCCTTCCAAATAACTTTTAATATAATATTAAATTATTATTGAAACTTTATGCATAAATAATCTAAAATATAACTGAAACCAGTACATAGCTGAAGTGATCAACCAGTTGTGATGTAGAAAAAAAAGAAAGAAAAACTTCTACTCTAAGGAAAAAATATGTAACTTATAAAAGAAAAGAATCAATGCATAATATTCATGGATGAAGTGCAATCAATTCACTTTTTATCACTATATGACACTGATAGGAAATTAAAGGAGCAACATGACAAACAAAAATCAAAAGGACTCTAAACATGAAACTCAATGGAAATTTAAGCCTCAGTTTGACAAATCATAAGAACAAGTATAGCAAATTTAAAATTGTGTTTTGTAAGTATTGGCTTTCCAAGAGGCCATTGGGGGTGGGATAATTGGATGAGCTAGATTCAACTTCTAATTTGCTTGTCACTGACAGTCTCTGTAAAGACTGATTTCAATACAAATGGTCATCTTATATAAGTATATTTTAATAAGTATATTCCCAATCTTGTTTTCAGTAAAACTTTAACAAAAGTTTACCTGTAAACAGAAATTGTAAAATTTCTTCCTGTACCAGGATTGTTAAATTGCTTACATAGTTAAGAGCTTGGATGGTATTGCTTTCAGGTGATTTATGAACAAGAGACATGTACTGAGCCTTACTTTCTATTGAGTTTCATCACATTAGAATCCTAGAGTTTTCTATCCCTCTTTGGGGTATTAATCAATGTGACTTGGGCTAACTTTTTCATTACAGTAAGATTCAGGGTGATTTTCTGGTGGTTTGATTCAGTTTAATGCCTTCTTACATTCCTAGAAATTTACATGAATGTACCTGTAGGGGCTGCGGGAGTGAGAGGACTGGGCGGCCGTGGCTATTTGGCATATGCAGGCCTGGGTCGTGGCTACCAGCTCAAAGGAGACAAGAGGGAGGATAAACTCTATGACCTCCTGCCTGGGATGGAGCTCACGCCAATGAATCCTGTCACTTTAAAACCCCAAGGAATTAAACTTGCTCCACAGGTAGGTACTGTCTTCCCAGAGACAGGTTCTGTGAGCTGGGTCAATAGCCATGGGTCACCTATCATTAATTGATTTGCTTGATCCTAACTTGGGCTATTCTTTTCTTTTCTTTTAATAGAATTAAGTGACCAAGCAACATAATATCCTTTAGGGGAATGATGGATATTAAGAGCTATTTATCCAATGCAGGTCCCTTGTTTTTTGTTTTTTAATCATAATGTTTAAAACTTTAATCTTCCATTAAATGTTTCCCTGAAATGTAAAGAATCTAAGAGTTATTGTAAATCATTAACCAATACTTCAACAAATATGAGACAAAGATCTCAGCCTAAGGTTCCAAACGCTACCATAATACATGCTGCATGTTGAGAATGAGCTCAGAATAAGACAAGCTGATTGGCTAATGAAGGGTATTTATGACGTGGAACCCTGAATAGACCATTTAGGACACCTTTTCTTGGGAAAATATGCTTAACAGAAAGCTCTACCGTGCCATCTGGGTGAATCATTAACCATAAGGTGCCATCAGTCATATCAAATTAAGTCTTTTACCATGGTCATATTTGAGCAGTGGCATTATGGTGAATTTTTATTGCTTTTACTTAACAGTTCAACATTTCTGTATCTCTGCCTGAGGCTATGTCTTTTATTACAGGAAAATTAAAAGTTATAAAGGTTGTCCTACTATGGAAACTGAATACCAGGGTTAACAATAAAACAAAATGTGATTCATGCTAATCCTTAGTATATGATAAGCGCTCTGAGATACATTTTGGCTAAATAACCAGAGTTAGAGTTTGTGTGCTCTGAAAGAAACTTACTTACTCCCAGACCAAAGGTATAGGCAGGCCAAATTTATGAGAGTAGACCTTGAAGTGCAACCAAGAAGAAAACTTGGTTTTCTAAGAGCTCATCTTGGCTGATGATATGTGTCGGGATTGGGAAAAATTAATGTCCTTCTTTTATGCACAAATTAATTAATCTAAAGTTTCTTCTAAATCTATCTATAATTAAAAATAGAGTGCCTCATAGAGCAGTAAACAGCACTCTTCATTTAAAATACGCTTATTGAGGTGCCAGGGAGATAGCTCTGTGGAATAAGTGCTTGCCTGGCAAGTACATGGTCCTGAGTTCAATCCCTGGTACCACAAAAAATAAATAAATAAAATACTCTTATTGGGTTTTGCTTATGCAGCACATATTGTGCTAGGTTCTAGAATTTTAAAGATGAATATGACAAAGTATTTTCTATCCAAAGCAATGCATGGGATAACACATATTAATAGATAATATTAATGAAATCAGGTAAGTGACATGATGGAACTTGCTGAGAATGTGCAAAACTTATTCCTCTACTTCTCTTGAGTTAAGACCTAAAATAAAGAATTTAGTGATCATAGTACCTTTACTGTGTTAGCTAAAATTCTTTTAAGAAAAAAATCTTTAAAACAGTAACTACTAATCTTGTATATATCTGAGAATTACTGTAGCTTGAGCAAAGATCTCTGCTTTTTACATTAAACTCATGTTAGAAATTGATCATTTTTTCTATTAATCCGCAAGTAACCATCTGTGTTACCCAGTGAAAGCTCTTTAATTGGTTTGTCTCTGAATTCCTACAACTATGGCTAACAAATTGAAGACAATGTTACCCCAATCAACATAGATGGGGAAACAGCCCTCTGGCCGCACTGCAAACCTCCAACCAGGAGAGCAGTTACAAACCTCCATGTCATCAACTAGAGTTGGCTCCTTGCACAGATTTGCTCACCTGGAATGATCAGGCAGGCAGACTATTCACAAGCAAAAGCTACTTATTCTTACTCAGAAACCTTGGCTTTGTAGATGCAAGAAATGCTACAAGAGTGTTAAGAAAAGAGGCAAAGAAAGTAAGAACAATCTACAAATGAATAAAATGGAAGGTGTCCTGTCACATAGATGGGTTAGTGTTAGAACAAATGAGGTGGGTACCCCAGAGACCCATCCTGGGGCATTGTTCTCTCTTCCGCTCATTTTCTCAGACTTAGCCCTGTCTTGTGCACTATGCTAAATCTCCTGAGTGAAAAGAATAACAAGATGTTTGGACCAGCAACATCGGCTTCCCAATGAAGAAAACATAAGCCTTAGAAAAGATTCAATTTAGAGTAGTTATCCAAAAAGTATAAAAAAGATACTTAAAAAACAGAGCATCATAAAAACAGACAGAAGAAGTATGCGGCCAGACAAAAATATTATAGCAATCAACATTCGTCTATTCATGTCCATCTACAGATACTGAACCACCAAGTATTTTAATGTTTTGGAAAACATAAAGTTTAATCTGACAAAACTAAACCAAAAAAAGGGGGATACAAATGAAGGACCATTTTGTATCTGCATATACAAAATAGTTATGATAGATATACAGCTACTTCCTCTTAATTCAATGAGAAGAAAGATTTGTACTAATAGTGTTTGGACAGAATATCATGTCTGCATCTTGTACTATGAATAACCACTATGAAGACAACAATATGCAATATATTAATTATTGAAACTGTCCTATTAATAGATTTTGAAACTGTCTCATTGCTGTTTCTCAATAAAATTAATAAAAAAAGAAAACATAAGGCTTAAACCCTATGACAACTGAGATGAAATAAAAATACCTCCTTATCATCTCCTCTAAACCATTATGAACAGAGGCCTATGATAATAAATAAATCTATCCAAATATTCTAGAGAATCAGTTTTTAGTGAAATACAATTATCAAACAAATCATGAATCTCTTAGTAAAAAGTTACAGCTAATGGACTAGCCTAAAAAACATTAGAATAAATGGTGTGAAAATGATTTTATGAACTAATAGATAGAACATTTTAAATGGAGTTCAAATTCAGTTCAACTTAAATTTTATAAGTCATTAAACCATGTGGCATTTTATATCATTTGAGATTAGTTTAAACTCTAAAGATCAGAGTTTAAAACCTGAAAACTAGAGAAATAATAGAATGTGGCATTTGAGGAAGATGTAATTTGTTTTTGCTCTTGTAGATATTAGAAGAAGTCTGTCAGAAAAATAACTGGGGACAGCCAGTGTACCAGCTGCATTCTGCCGTTGGACAAGACCAAAGACAATTATTCTTATATAAAATAACTATCCCTGCTTTGGCCAGCCAGAATCCTGCAATGTGAGTAACTTCTCCGAATTCCTAGACATTTAAATTTTAGAACAATACTCATTTGACAAGTAAATGTATTTTATCACTATCTAAACAACAAAAATATTCAGGTTTCTTAGCTACTCATTTGTGACTAAAGAAAGCATTGCAATGTGTTGTGAGATGTCATGTGACAAATTTGGGACAAGCCTGAGGCCCCCACATTTCAGATAGGCAGTGAAGACTGCAGTATAGTCATCCAAGAACAAACAGTAGGTTATAGAAAATGTAATACCTGTGAGAAACTACAGCCACTTCTTTATCTGCAAAATATTTACGCTGAGCTATGTGAAATTGCCATTTTTGTACATGAAGTTCTGCTCCTCATTTAAAATTTGGAATCAAAGAAACAACCTCTGTGTTAGTGGATATGATTTTTCGACTTTCGAGCCAAGTCCAGACATGCAGATGTCTTGGCAAGCACTGTACTTCACGTGGACCTTAGGAAAGCCGCATGGTGGGCTACAAACAGGGCTCAGGAATACAATCAGCTACATACGTTCTAGGCTGGTGAGGACAAAATGTTCAAAGTCCAAGGGCCCAAACTATAACCCAAAACTCACTTATTTGTTGCAGTGCCAACACTGCAATTAAACCTTAGTACTAAGGGTCTAGCTTAGAAAAAACAACTGTCATCTGGCGCTTGGCTACTGGGCACCTTGGCTCCTGCGCCAACTGAGACACCTCAGAGTGCCCACCATGGCATGCATGTCATGTGTTCACCACCACTTTTGTAGGTCAGTTGATAGGCATCTTTTTGTGCACATAATTTTGCTTAGAAGCCCTTCACAACATAAAGGAAAATACCATACAAAATCCCATCATGTAGTCATCTCGGCTGTGTCTTAGGTTTTCATTTCAATACACAAGTTTTAAAATGCCTAACCTGGCTGAACATGCTTTCTAGCCATCCTTTTACACCTCCAAAGCTGAGTGCCTATGTGGACGAGGCAAAGACCTATGCAGCTGAGTACACCCTGCAGACTCTGGGTGTTCCCACTGATGGAGGGGACGCCGGGACTGCGGCCACTGCTGTCACTTCTGCACCTATCTTCCCAGGTATGGAAAACTTATGCTAGATGTTTGGGAAAATTTCCTTAATCCCAAGTACTCATAGAGTGGCTTGTGAACTACACCTGCTTAAATCCACTCACACCATCTGGGGGCCAAAACCAATTTTCCAGTTGAGTGATCCGTTCCAGTATGTGGCAGGAAATTGATTGCTGGGCCACCTCACCTATAAGCAGCTGTGGGATCTTGAATGAGTCAATCCCTCTGATTCCTGGTGGTTTGGTTTTTACTATGAGTAAGAGACTTTGGTGGTCTCAATTAATAGGTGGTATTTATAATGAGCAAGGCACTCACCCAAATGTTCCGCAAGATTTATCTTTACTCAGAAACGCTCACGACACCACTAAGAAAGAGATTGGAACATAATACCCACTTTATAGAGAAAGCTTTCATGTAGCACTTGAGCTCCCCCTATTTCTAATCTTCATTATACTTTTATTAGTTTGCTTTCTGATACAGATGTGATGAACTTTCAAAAATTATTTTAAGTGAAAATTTGCATTGTGCAAGTGACCGATAGATTTTTTTTCATTGTGTGAATAGCTAGGCTTCAATGCATTTGTTCTCTCATTTTGGCTTGGGGCATATGATGATTGATTAATGTAAAGTCTATTTAAAATATTTCATTATGTGCTCACCACAAATGCTAATCATTGGAAAGATCTTCTAGAGCTTAAAGAAATTAGAGCAGTTCTATTCTTTTATGTCCTAAAATTTTATTTCTTTTAAAGAAATCTGTCATTCTGCCTTGTTACTGTGTCAGCATTCCCACCATATACTCAAATTAGAGAGGTTTTTCTAGCCCTAAAATTACAGAATTTCCATTAACTTATGCACCATGCCACATGTCAGTGTGAGAATTCAGTATCCCTTACATATACTCCTCACATTCAAAATGCTTGGTGCTTATTTTTTTTTTCTTTCCTCTCCAAAATTGTGAATATGCCTTCCCTTCTGGAAAATGAGGCTAAAACTGATCATGCTCCACACACAAATATAACCTCAATTCTGGTTTTGTTTCTCTGTAAGAACATGGAGATGCTCTGTGGTGAGTACTTCAGTGGTTACCAAGGAAACTCTGAACCATACAGAGAGCGAGGGCCTTGCTGGGCGCTGTGACCATCAGCCTCCATGCATACAAGGTGTTGCTGTGTCCCTCTATGGCAGACTTACGCCAGAGCTCCACATCCCTGGATAGAGTTGAGCCCTAGCCTTGTGGAAAGCTTTATCCCAATCACATTTAACTAATGTACCATACAAATAAATGAGCTTCTGCCAAGAGAATTTTAAACTTTATTGTAATATTCGAAAGGATATGCTTTTACTCAATATGTTTTAAACTTTATCTTCCTTTCTCTTTGTTCCTATAAGAAATTAAAAATAGTTGGGGCATAAGAGTTGTCTTGAGAATGAATGGCTAAGAATGTGAAAGCCTCTTGGAACTTTCTGTAGACTCAAGTAAAGAATAGTATCTACCAGCAGGCATGATAGCACATGTCTGTCATCCCAGCACTCAGGAAGCTGAGGCAGCAGGATCAATATGAGTTCAAGGCCAGCCCGGGACACAAAGTGAATTCAAGGCCTGCCTAGCAAAACCCTGTCTCAAAAAGCCAAAAAACAAAAAAAATAATACAAACCAAAGGAAGGCTCTGAAACACAAATACCCTCGCACTTAAGAAATTAGCAAAACTGAAAAAGAAAACCCCAAAATGCTACAGGTAAAGTCTGTGCTATGAAACACACAGGCACATGGTTATATTACTTACATTAGAAACACCACTTCCAAAATTATGAAAGTAACTGATAGGAGGCCGGCGAGACAGCTCAGCAGACTAAGCACCTGCATTGGCAAGGGCAGGGACCAGGGTTCAATCCCCAGTCCTGCATGCTGCGCAGCTCTGCCCCTGCCCCCAGGGTGCACTGAGCCAGTGAGCGAGTCCAGGCATGGTGGCACACTGGGGAGGCTGAAAACAAGAGGCTCACTATGAGTCTGATCTGTGTAGTGAAACCCTGTATGAAATACATAAAGTGGAAAAAAAAAGTTTTTGAAAGTAATTGTTAACCCATCTTTTATATCCTTAGGAAATATACCAAACTTCACTTGTGTGTTAGTCAGCACTATTAGCCAAAGTAAAAAACTAAGGTGCAGATTCAATTTTTAAAAACATAGTCCCGCTAGATTCCTCCTGTTACTTCCTCAGAAGCCACCAGAAAATAAATCAATGTTCTTGGGGTGGGCAGACTTCCACCATAAATGGACCATGGGATTTTTTTTTTTTAAGAAATTACATCCTCACTTGTTCCTTAAGAATGCCCCTCTCTTTCATATATTATCCTTCACAGTTTTTTTATCATCTCAGAAATAGCCAAGTTTTGGTCTAAAACATTAGCAAGGATGTATCACTCTTGCTAGTGACAATTACGATTTCTTCTTCACAAGTGAATGACAAGCAACTAGACATTCTAAGATGAGGGGATTTCATTACTGTTAAAACACTGACTGTGAGGACCAGCAGCAAAGCTTCTAAATATTCACGGGTAAACTTGACAGCTGAGAAAAGCAACCTTTGCCATTGATGGTTAATCTAAACCTGAACAGGGAAGATATTTGATTTCATGGTGTCATGTAAAAACACTCTAAAACTTTACAGTGTTTTCCCTACTGTTCTATCCAGTCTCCATGCATCCTTCTTGGGTGAAGGTAATGTTTCATTTAGGCCAAGGAGGGATTCTAAGGAGGTGTAGGTTTGTAGTAGAACCAGGCCCACAGCTCATCCATCACCATGCCCTGCTATCCCCTGAATGGCCTCCCCTCCTTTATAAATTTTGAGATTCTCTGGAAATGTTATAAATTGCAAATGTTTTTCAGCCAGGCATCCAGTGACATTTCTGTTTCCTGGACCTTGTCCACAGTGTCTTTAATCTTCTAAGTGTGACATGAATCTGCCATGGTCTTTCACCTTTGGGCTCACTGTCCCAAGACTTTTCAGGTGCAATTTAAAAACCACTGAGTCTACTTCTTGTGTCCCCTGAGACAATACATATTAATTAATATTTATTTTGCACATTAATATTATCCCTTAGCTATTGCAGACTGATCAGGTCCTCAATCTCCCAAAGGAGTAGATGACAAAGGCTTAAATAAAGGATTTAAAGTGGTACAATTGTAGGGCTCTAGGAGGATCAAAACCCTCTAACAATTTGAGATTCCCTGAGGGGTAAGACAAAGATCTTCCCTGGGCAGCCCATATTTATTTAGTTATCGGAATAAGGGAGGAGAGTACTGAGGAAAGTGCCTGGAACCACTCAAGGACTTCTCCAAATAAGACATGGTTAATTTAAGAGAACTCTACTATCCTCAGGAAGGTCTCCATCCAAGAGGGACATGCCTGAAGCTACAATCTTTATTTAGGTTGAAGCCAGGTGTCCTTAGCTGTGGCCCTGTCTCATCCTTTGAGACATCCTGACTTTGCCCACTGTTATAGGCCTCAGCTGGGACCAGCAACTCAGAGGTTCACTTACTGTATGAGTCTGCCGCCCATTTCCAGACAAGGGGCCTAGGACAGACACAAGTAAACACACTTCATATTAAATCCTGCTCAGAACCACTTCACAGTAGTCTCCATCATTTATTAATTAATCTTAATAATTAATAGATTAGCTTAGAGTAATACATTAAATTTCCATATCCTAAACGAAGCCAATGTGCCCAAAGGAAGCAAATGTGAGTTCCTTTCCTGAAGTTTTCTCTGCCTCCTCCTGCAGGATATGCTGTTCCCAGTGCAACCACACCTGTCTCTGCAGCCCAGCTCAAGCAAGCGGTCACCCTTGGCCAAGACTTGGCAGCGTATGCAGCCTATGAGGTCTACCCCACTTTTGCAGTGACTGCCCGAGGGGATGGATACGGACCCTTCTGAAGATGTCTCTCTTTTAACTTAGGGATAAGATACACAAAACTGTATTATAGAAGAAATAAACCTCTCAGTCCCCTGATGACAAAAACCGTGCCTTCCCTAAAGCAGTGCCTTTCCTGAGACTGTATGACTTATATCATACAGAGTCATCAAATGTGAATATTTTTTCTCATTGAAATCAAATGCTAAAGAGTCTTGTTTAACAGAAAGCTGGAGTCACTAACCCCAAAAGTCATTCTTCCAAGGTTCCCAAACGTCCTGGGGCTATGTTTACAGTCTCTGACAAAGCAGGGAGAGATCTCTCAGCAGGCAGGAGCCAGAGCTCAGCAAACATGCACCAGCAGTTACAAGTGAGGCGGTTCATCTCCAGAGGCTCAACCCTGGCTCATGGCTGCTGTGTGGGACACGAAGTCAAGAAGAGGCAAAAGCAATTGGGAAGACTTGGCAGGATCCCTTGACTTTGAGGCTTTGTCTCATGCCTGAACTCGTGAAAACAATCCAAGATCATGTGGACTCAGCATCACTTTGGTCTGAAAATTCCACCCCACTTGCCATAGGTCAGGATCTTCCTAGCGCATGCACTCCCTGACATTTCCAAAAAACTGATAGAAGTTGCATGTGTGGCCAAAGCAATTCTTGACTGCTTGTTTATCCAATTCATTAACCCATGTCTATTTTTCCCTAGAACTCCTCTCCCTCCCCAGGATACCCACAGCACAAAAACCATGCCAACATGAAATGACTTTTCACCATTTTAAAGACTTTTAGTTGTCCATACTGATTTATTTTCCTCTCCAATTCATTTTGCTTTTCTCTAATATTATAAGAAAGTAAACCAGCCCTACATGATAACACATACAATACTTTTTTCCTATTCAGCAAATTGCCTGAAAATTCATTTCAAAGAGCAAAGTGGAGTTTCCATTTCTTATTTTGCTTTGTTATTTTTTTTCTTATGTGCTATGGATCAACCCAGGGTCTTACACATACAATGTAGACACTCTACCACTGAATTACACCCGCAGGCCTGAATTCATTACTGCAATCTTTTTTCAGTACCCAGACTACCATCAAGCATTCAGGAAAGTTATATTAACTTGAGGTTAGTCTTAAATTATCTCATCCACTTATATCAAATCTGCCAAGAACTCCTTTACCTTCTCTTTCTTTGATTTTTAATAAGTAGAGATAGCTTTATGTTACCCAACCCATTTCTCTGATAAGCATCACAGGAAAATCTTACTCTTCCCTGGGAACATCTGATAGTGGTAAGACAGAAAAGGATGCCACAATTTAAGAATGCAATTACAGAGGAGGCATTACTTGCCTGCCATACTTGTACATGATTGCTTCATTCAAAACAAAAAGAATCCAGTGCTGAACAAGTCCAACACCAAACTCTATTGCTATCATTTCAGACTCAGTGGCTTAAGACATATAGCATCAGAATGTCTGTTTCAGGGAGTGCATGCACTAGGAAGATCCTGACCTATGGCAATATCCATTAGCCCCTATAAAATTCTACAGAATTCAAGAGAAAATACACACATATAAAGAGTAAAAAGTTTTGTCAACTCCGTAATAGAACTCTATGATCCAAAATCAAGCCAGATTCTGGTCAGTGAGGCAAACTTCAATCATGACCTTTCAGTTCCACTAAATGCAATCAGACCTACTGCCTTCAAAACTGGAATTCTAGAAGGCTCTGTGCTCTCTGGCTCAGAATGAGCTCCTCCTAAGGACCATAGGTCCCAAATTTGGCTACACATTTGAAACACCTAGAGAGCTTATAAACACACTGATGCCAAGGTTTTCACCTTGTGTCAGTCACATCAGGTCTTGGAGCAGGAGCCTGTCCTCAGCATTTTTAAAAAATTCTTCAGTGATTTCAGGGTCCATCTATGTTTGGAAGCTGCTATATTCTTTAAATTTTTCTCTCTATCTCTTCATATTTTCTTTTAATTTTACTTTCATTAAATAGAAAAATGCAAGGAAAAAAAATCTAAGTTAAAACCAACTGTTGCTACCGAGATCATTCATTTGTGTATATATACATCACAAGTATCATGAATGTGAATATAATTCATTTTGGTTTCAAACTCTTAGGCCAAACCCTAAAAGTGAGGAAATAAAAAATTCCTCCTCAATTAATTCATATATCCAAATCTATACTCCCCACATACCTAGATTTAGTCTCAATGAGAATAATTACATTGATATTGAAAGTGTTCTTTGGGGAAGGCAAAGTTCTACTTAGTCTAAAGAGTATTCAAAACTCCAA